GACTTTATGGCTGCTGTGTGCATGTGTCTGTTAAGTACACATGACTGTAGTAATACATTATTATAAGTTTACACCACTGATCTATAACAGAGAACTGGATTTCTCATGATGTTATAGAAGTGAAGCCACCGCGCCACCATATTGATATACCCTAGTGCTCCCATATATTCTACTGAATTAACAGTAAATCGTACAATTTTAATTGAAAGATATCAGACATAAGAACACTGACTTGTTAGGTGAAGTATTCCTGTACATTCTTACAACACAAACGTCCTAAGCATGCACATTTGGTTATTTGTTTAATATTGGTATTTTCTCTTGTGTATTAAAAAGGTACGTATCATATTCATAACAGTAGCAAACATTAGATGAACATCAGATGGACGAGATCCTCAACATATGTATTACACATGACAAAGTACACATTCTGAAATCTGAATAAGGGTTTAAGAGATTTAACACCAGGAGACTATATAATAAATTTCCTCTTGAGGCAACACAGGTTCGTTCACAGTGAGTCAGCAGGAGACGTATATATAAAAGAAAATATACTGTTTTTTTTAAGGATGATGTTTTACAAAATTAAAAAAAATCACAAACAGTTTAGTTACACAATATAATGAAATACAACAAGAGTGAATTTGGATGTCTGAGGCTACTCAGGTCAGAGTGCAGAAGGGAATAAAGGGCACAAGGCCTCCACAGAAAGTCACTGTTCCCTTACACCTGTGCATAAACACACACACACTCACGCCTACACACACCACCACACATAACACAGCACTCGTGAAGGAAAGACCGCCACCAGAAATCTACCTCGCCTTAGACACTCAGCTCCTGCAACAAACAACATTAGGTTATACACTGCTCTCAGAACACCACTTATAAAACCACAGTCACTCCATAACAATAAACAATCAATCAATGCACAGCAATTAGAAACTTGAGAGAAACAATACTTAAAACAAAATAGAGACCCTTCAGGCCTGTCGCCAAGGTGGGGCATTTATTAAAATAAATAAATAAATACAAAAAACTATGATTCACTTACCCTGTGTGCAACATTTGGTTTGCATACTTCATTTGGCTGTCGAGGTGTTGAT